CAATTATTGGTTCAGGTGTCTTTAGTGAGACACCTTGCAGTCGAAGCATAGCCTTAAGGACACCATTGAAATATTTACTAACTGTTTGACCAGACCTCATAAAATTGAATTTGACATTTCGATTTTTATGGTAGTGCCCAAGCATAGTCAAGAACATAGCAACATTTTCTTCTAACACAACATATTTTGAATCTGACACACCCCTTGTTCTGATAAGCCCACACAACCGCATAAAGGTATTCCTATTCATTCGTAGTTGTTCATGGCAGTCTATGTCATTATCTCTGACCAACCTATTTAGGTGGTCAAGTTGTTGTTTGAAATGATTAGGATTTCTACTTATTTTCCTCGTACCCTTAAATCTTTCCAGTGCAGCATGCAAAATGACAATATAAACTCCACCAGTATAATTCATGGATGATACAATATGTTGTAGGGCAACATAAGCCTCAATGGGTTCCCTTCTACCATCAAATCCTTTATTATTTGCCATCTATGAAAAGAAATAGTGCACAAGTAAATTAAATAACTAAAGCAATCAAATAGATAACTAAATCAATGCTAACTACTATTCACAGCAGCCCCATGTAAACAATAAGATTTGATAGAAAATAATCTTATCCACAAGAAGCATTCAATAAGAAGGATTATTAAGCTACATCAAATTCAAACTTTTGACATAATTTTGTAGACAATCAAATAATGTAAAAAAATCAATCAGATTATAAAAATCTGATTATGTAAACTACCTTTCCCAATATATCAATCTTGGGAAAAATCTGATAATCAAACAAAAATCAATCTTTAAACTACGTTTCCCAATATATAAAATTTGATTATGTAAAAAAATCAAACTCTTCATAGATTATTTATTATTTTTTTTTTAATGTCAAGAGTATGATTTAATCAAATCCCTAGATTTTTACATACAAAACAAACAAATTTTTATTGCTTGAATCAAAGCCCCCCTCCAAAAAAAAAGCAATAAAACAATAAAATAGAGACATAAAATTTGGTTCCAATAAAACAGAGACAAATTTTTATTGCTTGAATCAAATCTGATTACAAAACAATCAAAGCCCAAAAAAAAAAAAAATAAAAAAAAAAAAACAAAATCTGTTTGATTAGAAAGTTTATGGCTCTCTTGTCTAGATTGAACAAAAATAGTGGGTTTAGAAAGTTCCAAAAATCATAAAAAGTTTAGATTGAACAAAAATCAGATTGAACAAAAAGTTCCAAAAAGGGCCAAAAAGTTTCAAAGTTCCAAATCAGTAGTTCCAAAAATCAGTTTAGATTGAAACTTTTGAAGGTTTCTAGCCCTCTTGTCTACGATTTTTGTTATCTCAGGGGGTTTAGAAACTTTCTGGCCCTCTTGTCTATGATTAGAAAGTTTAGATTGAACAAAAATTAGTGGGTTTAGAAAGTTCCAAAAATCATAGACAAGGGGGTAAAAATCAGCCTCAAAAGGGTTTAGATTGAACAAAAATCAGTTGAAGGACCACAAATGGTTTACATAAAAATCATACAAGGAAAACCCAAAACCAGAAAATCAAAAAAAAAAAGAGTAAAGTAAAGGGAAACGATGATTATCACCAGAAAGAAGTTTTGCCAACGGGAATCGGTCACAAAATCGAGTAGATCTACACTTGCAAAACCAGAGTCTTTTTCTCTGCTAGATGTATGAGCTACATATGTTTTCTTGAGCCCTAGTCTATGTATATATTAGATAGACAAGAAGGTAAATTAGACTTTTTAAATCATATCCCAGCCTAAGGGATATGATATAATGGGGGATGATGGTATTGTATATCCTCTAATTTTGGGGGATATACAATCCCATGGTATATTATATCATCTTTAAAAAAAAATTGCAAACATGGGATATGTGGACCCCATAGGATATAATATCCAATCCTAACCTTTATATCCTGGAATCAAACAGGGCCTTAGGACATAAGTTAACAAAAACCTTAATTCTTCACATATTAAGAGTTTGAAATTTTTTTGACTTAACCAACAAAAGAAGATTAAAACAAGATGACTCAAATATACGATGAACGATATGTTAAAACTGATTATTGAAGGCAAAACTTTGTAATTTGTAATTTCAGTTCCATATTTTCAAACTTATTATCAGATATGTGGAGGGAAAAATATATGAGTTCAAGCCTAAATCTAATTATGCTAGCCCAAGACAAAAAGTGTTAAGTCCAAACCCATCCCTTGGAGCCCGCGAGGGACAGCTGGCAACAACTTAGCATCTAATCAAGGTGCGCGAGAGGACAAACAAATACAAAAGATAGTCTTCTAGAAGTAAATCTATAAATTAAAAGAGAGGCGTCGGATTAGGTATCATCTAACAGTGACAAGTGTAGAACATACAAGACTAGGGTATAGGCTGGACCTAGTAAAAGGAAGAGTCATCTGATTAATTTAATCTTACAGACGAAATGCTCAGTGAGTTGTCCGCTAACATCTGACATCATCCAAACCATCCATGCACCAAAGATCCAACGAGCAAGGACAAGACACACTTGGAGAGTTGCCGGACTAAAAGCCAGATGTGGGTAGAATCCTTCGATCAAAATAAGATCCGATGGATGAGATTTGAGCCAAAATAGTTATAAATGGGTAAGATAACAAAGCACAAAAAAATAAGTGAGTAAATCTAATCTAACTCAGTTATACTCAATCTTAATTAATTTCCACTTTAGAAATATTTCCTCTTATATTTATTCACTATAGCTGATCAGTATACGTCGAAGGTTCCCCCTGACAAAACTTGGTTGGGAGTCATCACTGATGTTTAGTTTTTCCTTACAGAGTGCAAAGGATTGAGCGCATCATCTCACTTTCTCTGTAGAGATAATTTCACCTTCTACAAGATATACTTAATGATCCTTGCAAATAGTGAATAACAATATTATATCATATTACTGTGAGTCAAATTAAAAAAACTTTTATAAGAATCTCTGACATTTTCCTCACTCTAAATAAATGTAACATATAAAAAAAAAGGAAAATTTACTAATAAATCCTAATTGTTGAACTTTTGATCCAATTAGTCCCAAATATTTTCTAATGATCCGTTTGGTCCTTTTTATTGTGAAAGGACATTGTTGCCATCTATATGTATATTGGTGTAAGCAATACGTTGGGTGTGTGAGTGTTTCTGCGCGTGTGTTTGACATGGGCTGCTGTGTGGTTGTTGTGTGTTGCACCTTTATAATTTGAGAGTGGTGCTTGTCATGTATCACAGTTGTGGGTGCCACACAAAATGAAAGGACACTAAAGCATTTTTTGCTCTAGTGTGTGATGTGTATGGTAGGAGTGTGTGGCACCTCCATAGTTTGAGGCATTAGTGGGTTACGTGACACAACATTACATGTGTCTCCATCACAACAGAAAAACAAGTAGATACAATCACAAAATATGATGCAATAAAACACACAGTCACACAACCCACACAGAAGTAAAATGCACATATCAATAAATACAGAGTCACAAACACACACAACCCACACCCATCCTAAAACAAAACACACAACCCCTCGCGAAACACACAACCCACATACCAAGTAAAGAAACAAAACATGGAAACGCATCCACACAACGACAAAAGACGGATGTGTAGGCGACTAAACTGCTATGTATGCCACACAAACACATAGCCGTCATAAGGGAACGTACCTTCGTAACAACGGCGTCCCGCCGATGGAAATGATATCTCTATCAAGCTGCCACACAGTCGTCCACAGACACCCAAACTCACACAGTTGTGGGTGCCACACAAAATGAAAGGACACTAAAGCATTTTTTGCTCTAGTGTGTGATGTGTATGGTAGGAGTGTGTGGCACCTCCATAGTTTGAGGCATTAGTGGGTTACGTGACACAACATTACATGTGTCTCCATCACAACAGAAAAACAAGTAGATACAATCACAAAATAGGATGCAATAAAACACACAGTCACACAACCCACACAGAAGTAAAATGCACATATTAGTAAATACAGAGTCACAAACACACACAACCCACACCCATCCCAAAACAAAACACACAACCCCTCGTGAAACACACAACCCACATACCAGGTAAAGAAACAAAACATGGAAACGCATCCACACAACGACAAAAGACGGATGTGTCGGCGACTAAATTGCTATGTATGCCACACAAACACATAGCTGTCATAAGGGAACGTACCTTCGTAACAACGGCGTCCCGCCGATGGAAATGATATCTCTATCAAGCTGCTACACAGTCGTCCACAGACACCCAAACTTAGACGACACAAAACCCTACCCGTGATGGCTGACACATATGTGAACATTCCGTTCAAACTACCAAATGTGAGCAAAAAAAGTTTCCAATCAAAAAAGGGTACAATTATCCACTAGTAAAGAAAAAAATGGAAAAAAGGATCAGAAGGGAACAAATCTTTCCACCAGTAGGACTAACCGGAACAAAAGTATAAAGTAGGGACTGATTGGTATAACAGTTTGTGAGATAGGATTTATTGGTAAATATTCTAAAAAAAAACTCATTTAACAAAATGATTATTTCACATGTTTATGAATAACATATTTTGACTTTACCAACAACTGAAGATTAAAATAAAGTGACTCAAATATACAATAAATGAAATGTTTAAACCGATTATTGATGGCAAAACTTCGTATTTTGAAAATTTAGTCACATATTTTCAAATCTATTATTGGATATATTTAATAATATTTGAAAACACATTGAATAACACACTGTATATGTTTTCTTATCAAATTTTATTTTGATATTTGAAAACACATTGAATAACACACTATATATGTTTTCTTATCAAATTTTATTTTCAAAATATTTTTTTCCCCTTTTTTGATTCTGTAATTAATAACATTTATAGCCATAATTAAGTTTAATTCTCAATATATAAAACACATCAACCTTGGTAATCTAATCAATACCCAAAAATAAGTAAAATAAAAAAAAATAAAAATCACTTCAATATGCAATTGCATAATAATCTTTCATTGTGTTGTGTTGCTATGATGAGTTGTGATTTCACACCAATTCTTCTCTCGGCCCTATGCAATCTTCACTCCATTTTTATCTGTGTGTAATTGTTAGAATTCTTACATCAAGAAGAGAGAGAGAGAGAGAGAGAGAGAGGTGTAGACAAGTGCTTTTAAGGGTTGGGCTTTGCTTCCTCACCCATGTGTTTACGTACCTAAATTCGCTGCGACCCTTTTTGCCTCTTTCTCTATATCTCTATTCGCCATTAAAGCTCCAGTGGAGCTTTTGTCAATGCAATCTTCATAAAAGGCGATAGATTTATGTTTAAGGGTATACCCACAAGCCAATGAGACCCTAGCAATCAGGTTTGAGAGAATCATTCAACTTTTATTCGCTTTAACGTATTTATAATTGCGTGGTCTTCTCACCGCTGGCTTGGATTTTGTATATTACGAGTCTTTAATTTCTCTGTGCTATGTATATAGACTTCTCTCTTGTTCAACAATTTCATGGGTGCGTTGAGAATTAGGGTTTTTTTTTTTTTTTTTTTTTTTTTTGAGGTTAAAGGGCATTCGTTTCTCGGTTTGATGTGGTCCTTCACTGGTTTAGAGATTTGATTTTTTTGAGATTGAGGGAAATGGGTTTTGTGGGTTTGTTCATTCCATCATTTGTTTAAAGATTTTGGGTGTTTTTTGAGGTTGAATGGTATTTGTTTCTGGGGTTTTTATCTGTGTTCCATTACTGTTTTGAGAATTTGGTAATTTGTTGTTAAAGGGCATCAGATTCTGAGGTTGTGTCATCTATTGCGGGTTTCAAGATTTGGGTTTTTGAGGTGAAGGGATACTGATTTCTGGGTTCTTGTCTGTTTTGTAACCAGTTTCTGAATTCGAGTCTCTAAGGCTATTGGGTATTGGTTTTTGTGTCTGATAACTGGTTTCAGTTGGAGTGTGTGTGACTGATTGAGATATGAGTCGGAGGGTCCGTAGAAAAGTGGCAAGGAAGGGGAAGGATAAGGTGGTTTTGCCAAGTTACCCAGAAATTGAGGATGAGGGTTTGAGTTTGGACCAGAAAGTGGTAGTGGATTGGACTAGACTACCTGATGATACAGTGATTCAGCTGTTTTCGAGTCTGAATTATCGTGACCGGGCGAGCTTGTCATCAACCTGCCGGACATGGAGGAGTTTAGGTATTTCTCCATGTTTGTGGCAATCGTTGGATCTTCGTGCTCACAAGTGTGATGTTACCACAGCAGCTTCACTTGCCACTCGATGTATGAATCTTCAGAAACTCCGGTTTCGTGGGGCAGAATCTGCTGATGCAATAATTAATCTTCAAGCTAGAGGTTTGCGTGAAATCAGCGGTGATTACTGCAGGAAAATTACTGATGCTACCCTCTCCGTGATTGTGGCTCGACATGAGGCACTTGAGAGTCTCCAGCTTGGGCCAGATTTCTGTGAAAGGATCAGCAGTGATGCAATCAAAGCAATTGCTATTTGCTGTCCTAAACTTAGAAAGCTTAAGCTTTCAGGTATCCGGGATGTTGATGGGGAAGCCATCAATGCATTGGCTAAGCATTGTCAGAATTTGACGGACATTGGGTTCATAGACTGTCTTCATGTCGATGAGATAGCATTAGCAAATGTTGTTTCACTTCAGTTCCTCTCGGTTGCAGGAACAACAAATATGAAGTGGAGTTTGGTTTCACAGCACTGGAGTAAACTGCCTAACTTGACAGGTTTAGATGTTTCAAGAACGGATGTCGTTCCAACTACTGTTTTGAGATTGTTGTCATCTTCACGAAGCTTGAAGGTCTTGTGTGCATTGAATTGCACTGCTCTCGAGGAAGATGCCAACTTTGCTACTAATAATAATAAAGGTAAATTGGTACTTACCCTTAGCACTGACATTTTCAAGGGGTTAGCTTCTCTATTTGCCGATATTACAAAGAAAGAGAGAAATGTATTCTCCGATTGGAGAAATTTGAAGAAAAAGGATAAGAACTTGGATGAAATCATGACTTGGCTTGAATGGATAATATCCCATTCACTTCTACGCATGGCCGAGAGCAATCCACAGGGTTTAGGTAGTTTCTGGCTCAGCCAAGGTGCTGGGCTGTTGCTCAGTTTGATGCAGAGTTCACAAGAGGATGTCCAGGAAAGGGCAGCCACAGGACTTGCAACTTTTGTTGTCATTGATGATGAAAATGCTAGCATTGATAGTGGAAGGGCTGAAACAGTTATGCGGGATGGTGGGATACGTCTTCTTCTAAACCTTGCAAGATCTTGGCGGGAGGGGCTTCAGTCAGAAGCTGCAAAGGTAAGATTTATAGGGAAGTATAATGATAGTGATCATGATTTATAATAATACAGTATGTTTTACACTCGCATTTGTTATCGTGTAAAATTTTCTTTCCTTACATTATCAGTTTATTTTGCATGCAATGTACAAATTTGATTTATTGTCAATCTTTTGGGATGTGTAGGCTATAGCAAACTTGTCTGTGAATACGAATGTTGCAAAAGCTGTTGCAGAAGAAGGAGGAATCAATATTCTTGCAAATTTGGCACGGTCTATGAATAGGTTGGTTGCTGAAGAGGCTGCTGGAGGACTATGGAATCTCTCTGTCGGGGAAGAGCATAAGGTTGTTTGTTTTGAAATTTTTTGGTCAAGATATGGTTTGACTTTCGGACTCTAATAAACCAGAATTTCCATTATAGGGTGCAATTGCTGAGGCTGGCGGTGTAAAAGCTTTAGTTGATCTTATTTTCAAATGGTCTAGTGGTGGTGATGGAGTCCTGGTAGGCGCTTTCACATTGCGCACGTGCACAACCACTGTCCTGAACATGCAAACTTAATTATACAAACCAAGGTCCGGTGTGTGACAAGTAGAGGATTCATTTCCTTTTTCTTTTCTTTTTTTTCTTTTTCCCAGGAACGTGCAGCTGGTGCACTGGCGAATTTGGCAGCTGATGACAAGTGTAGCATGGAGGTTGCAGTGGTAGGTGGTGTACATGCTCTGGTGATGCTAGCTCGCTGCTGCAAGTTTGAGGGAGTTCAGGAGCAGGTGGAGTAGTGTATAATATTATCAAACTAATATTTGATTTGTGTATCTATAAGTTCCATATTACTAGTAAACAAGCTTTTGAAAAAAGAAGGATCTGGGTTCAACTGAAAACCCTAGGGGGCTTAGATACATACGTAACCTATATTTAGGAATTTTGGATAATTAGATGTTGTCGCTCATTGAGCTTTACTATCTCATTTTAGATGACAAATGTAAGGTTTCTTCGTAATGCTGTGTGGGTTATAACATTCTTCAGCTTCTGATGGTTCAAAATCATCTGTTCATTATGGTTTTTGTTTGGCACTCTCTTCATTGAGGCTTGAATTATGTGAGTTTTTCTGTGATTAAAGCTAGCAAATTTTTAGTCAGTAATTAAGTCGTTCATGCAAGTTACTTCCCTATTAGAGTATGAATGAATTCAGCTTAGATTCAGTGCATTACTTTCACAAGAGTAATATATGGATCCTACTATTTTTGCTTTATCTCAGTTTCCTTATAAAAGCTTACTTGCTTCCTTTCCCCCTTGGGATGGTCCTTTACCTTTCTTTTGCCTCTTCTGATGGTTGTTCCATATCAGCAGTCACTGAATTTAATTGGCATGAGAATAAAATCTTAATGTTTTCTAGTCATGGTAACGTTACATTTATTTCCAAATTTTATTTGGTTTCTGTAAAATTTTGAACTCAAATCCATTTATTATGTTGGAATTTAATTTAGTCCATATATAATGTTTCCCATGTGTAACATATATTGGTCATTTTCCAGGCTGCTCGTGCCTTAGCTAATTTGGCTGCCCATGGGGATAGCAATAGTAATAATGCTGCTGTTGGACAAGAGGCAGGTGCTCTCGAAGCACTGGTGCAACTTACCCGTTCTCCCCATGAAGGTGTCAGGTAGGTTTCAGCTTCTTGGATGCATTTGATTGTGAATTTTCTTTGGCTACCTTCCCTTCGTAAGGACTGATTGAAGCAAAAAGAGCCCTAAATGATTGATATGGTCAAAATACATATGATGATGGCTGGTAGTGATCATTTCGATAAAAATGCAAACAGAGGATGGGCTTACTCTGTGTCAAAAACATAAGCCTAGCCCCTAGGCGTCCTTGCCCGACCACACCCACCAGTGAAGTAAATAAAATGAAAGAGGCACAAACCAAAGTAGTGAGACAAGAAAAAAAAAATAAAAAATAAAAAAGGATGGCTGCTCTAATAAGTACTCAGGATCAACATCTTTTTTAATTATCTAACACTATCTTTAATATGTATACATGTTGCTACAGTAACCGAATTTACCCATTCAAACACATCGTATTGATGGGACCAAACCCTTGAAAATTTTTCGTCTTTTGTTCAACTTGAGAAGTGCATGTATTATAGTAGTTGCTGCAATTCAAATCCGATGTTGAATTATGTCTTTTTTTCAAGAGATAATTTTCATTGCAACCAAAGGCTCCATTCAATTTTCAGGAATACTGTACATGAAAATATTTCCTGAAAAATGAATTAAAGGAAAAGAAAATACAAATTATATACTTTTTCGTTAACTGTTCAATTTACAAGAAAGTTTATGTACAAAAATAATTTGAACTTTCTCATGATGCATTATCCTGCACTCTATATCCAAAGGAGCGAGATTGTCTTTGATTAAGATAACTTCATCAAGCATATCCACCTACTTGATGTCCTTGTTCATTATAGTGGTTTTTGTAGTGAAGCAACTAGAGAAGTTGCAGCATGACTTCCTTTGTGATAGGGTGGGGGAAGAGTTCCAATACCATATGGTGGATTAGTCTTAGGACACTTTGTGTGCTCTCTGAAGAGAGGGGGGTGGGCTTGGGTTTTTGAAATCTTGCTATCTTCAATCAGGCATAATTGGGAAAGTGGTTGTGGAGATTTGCAATCGAGAGAGAAAGAGGTATTAGAGAAAGTTGGTGGAGTGCAAGTATTATTATGTGGGGAGTGGGATTTGGTGGGATGGACTATGTAGGATGTTTCTCTGTCCTGTGGTGTGCAGTTTTATGGGGAGGTATTCATAGGGGTAGGAATCCTTTTCTGGCCAGTTTGTGGTGGGTAATATTGAGATGGTGAGTTTCTGTGGTCATTCCTGGTGTGGGGAGGAAAAGTTGGAGATGGCTTATCGTAATATTGCTTGTGTTGCTTTGAATAGGGAACTTCAGTGAGCGAGTATTTGAAGACTGAGGGTGGACAGTTTTTTTGGGATATTGGGCTGAGCAGAGGACTTAATGATTGGGTGGGGGGGGAGTTAGAGGATTTACTTGCACTTCTGTATTCCTCTCATATTGGTGGAGAAGGTCCAATTCTGATTGTTTTCATATATAGTCTTGTTATGAGACTCATTTGGGCCATAGGGGGTCTTCTTTCTGTGGAGGGAGGTGTGGGTACTAGGGTGTTAAAATTCATGTATTATTGATTGATATATGTTGTTGTGTTATATATATTACAATGATTTATGATTCCTATAAATAGAAGAGGGTGAGCGTGTAGTAGGTAAGGAGTAGGTGAAGTGGAGGTGGTAGTGGTGTAATGGGTTAGGTTTAGTGGAGTAGGTGAGGTGGTAGTGGTGTAGTGGGTTAGGTTTAGTGGAGTAGGTTTAAGTGGGTGAAATAGGTGATAGGTTTTAACATAGGGCACCCTTGAAAGTAATCTTTTTTTTTTTTGGTGTGTGTGGTGTGCGGCTCATGACATGATCCTCCTCATTGATGATTTGATAAGAAGTAAGTAATTTCATGTTAATTGGTGTTGTACATGCAACCATGATGAGGAGGTGGTGAATCATCTTCTCATTCATTGTGAGTTGGTGAGAGAGTGGTGGTCCTTGATTCTTTTCATGTTTGGTGTTGTGTGGGTTTTCCCTCATGCGGTTGGGAACCTTTTTGGATCTTGGAGAGAAGCTTGTGTGGGGAGGAGTAAGAGGAAAGCTTAGTGCTTGGTCCCTTTGGCACTTATATGGTTCATTTGGGTTGGAGAAATAGAAGAATTTTTGGAGGAAAAGAAAAGTATATTGCGAGAATGAAGAGTATTTTTGTTGTCCAATTAACCCATCTTTGAGACAATTTTTGAGTTTTGTAGAGACCTTCAAATAGGCTATTGATGTATAGCCGTTTATAGTTGCTTTTGTACAAGGGTTGCATGGTTGTAACCCCCCGTGGTGCCCTTTTTATTGTACTTATAAAATAATAATAATGTAGTTTATACAAAAAGGATTAAGGGAAAAATGTTTCCTTCAAGAAAGCAGAGCAGTTCTAGTGGGGTCAAATTTTTTTGCAACAACTGAACGCGCATACAAGAAAGGAAAACAAATTTTATTTTCTTTTTAATTTCCCTTCCCGCCAATTGACGCAGCAAAAGATGCCCGATACTCATTTTCTTCATTATTAAAAACCTTTAAGAATATGCATCCACTTCACTGGCCCCATAATTAACATCGGTTGAGATGGTAAGCAAAGACTTCTTAACATGTGCTCTTTTGAGTTGAGTATGAACCTTGATTGAGCAGAATGGTGAAACGCAAGTCATGTAGCCAACCCATAATAGTTGGGAGTCTTGGGACAAGGCTTTGTTGAGTTGAGGATATTATCCACTTCAACTGCCCTAGAATAAAACTTAGGGTGACATCATCCTGTCTTCCCTCCCAAGGATAGTCTTAAAAATCATTACTATCAAGCTAATACCTTTTCCTATATACGTTGTTATTAAGTCAAATTATTATTCTACTCGTTATTCTTTAAATTACTTTAATGCCAGAATACATAAAGGACTATTCATGATTTTGATGCCTTTCACTGTCAAATTTGCGTACAAAAGAATTAAAAGTTCCATTTTGATGTCCTCTTAATCTAATTTAGGTTCTGAAAAGTTGATTGTTAATTAGATTTAATATTAGTAGTTACATCAATGAAAGTCAACCGATATCCACTGTCTTTTTAGTCAAAGTGATGGCTAGTTCTATAGTCTGGTATCCTTCACACTATATAGAAACTTCCTAGATTTTACCTGTAATACCCTTATGAAAAATTGATTACATCGGACCGATTCTGGGGATGAATCTACTTCGAATTTGATAAATGCTTTGCTTGTGAAGTATGTGTTCGTGTATGTCCTATTGATCTACCTGTTGATTGGAAAATGGAAACGGATTATCTTATTACTATCATTCTGTCTTTGCCTCAAACAGGCAAGAAGCTGCTGGTGCATTGTGGAATTTGTCATTTGATGATAGAAATCGAGAAGCAATCGCGGCAGCTGGTGGCGTCGAAGCCTTGGTATGTACTTCTCCTTCTTGTGCGCAAACCTTTTCTATCCACTGTATTTGAAGGTACTAATACAACTTCCTAGAATTGAAGGTGTGCCATGACGAACTATTTCATAGGTTGTTTTGAATAGCTTGATAGAGGATTTGACAGTTGTTTACTGTCCTGTCAATACGAAACACTGAATGTTGCGGACCAATAAATTTAGGAATCTGTCCCCTCAATACTTGTATGTTTATCTATGTGTGTGTCTCATCATATGCATGCTCACGCAAATGCATGTGTAATTTAATGCATGAATGTTGTAGTTATTATTGTATATAAAATTGTCACAGTTTACATAAACTAGTTATACTTGGCCCGCCCCCCTTTTTTGTTTATTTTTTTTGTATTTTTACTCATATACTATATTTAATACACATTCCCCTCAAAGGAATTTTTTTATTAATATAATTAATTATTTCTCTTTCCCACCATACCTGTTTCTCTCAAATCCTTTTCGGTAAAAGGTTTTGCATTATGGGAAAGTATGACTTCTTTTTGTACATATACTTTTCATGTAAACTGAACAAACAAGGAAAAATGAATCATTTGCCTTGCCTTTTTCTTTTCTTTTCCTGGCAACGGGATGAAGCGGAAAGGAATATTAGTATTGCTTTACATGGAAAGCTCCATGAAATTTCCTTAAATTTGAAAACTGCTTTTATATGTATATCTCTCTTCCCCTTCTCCCCCAAAGCAACATCATCCACCTAAGAACAACAAACTTTGATTATCGCCAAACAAAGATTTTATCATGCTTCATCTTAGGTACTCTATCTAACCCCAATGATCAGTGTTTTTTAAGGCGAAAAGCGAACCGACGCGACAAGGTCTCCTAATGCCTAAGCGCGAGACGAGGGCTTCATTGAATCAAGGCGACCAGAAAGGATTTTTTTTAAAAATAAATGGTATAGACAAAAATATAAATATTTTCAGCATAAAGAAATTAAAGAACATATTTTAACAACATTAAAGAACATAAAGAAATTAAAATAGTTGAAAAAACTGCTTTTATATGTATATCTCTCTTCCCCTTCTACCCCAAAGCAACATCATCCACCTAAGAACAACAAACTTTGATTATCTCCAAACAAAGATTTTATCATGCTTCATCTTAGGTACTCTATCTAACCCCAATGATCAGTGTTTTTTAAGGCGAAAAGCGAACCGACGCGACAAGGTCTCCTAATGCCTAAGCGCGAGGCGAGGGCTTCATCGAATCAAGGCGACCAGAAAGGATTTTTTTTAAAAATAAATGGTATAGACAAAAATATAAATATTTTCAGCATAAAGAAATTAAAGAACATATTTTAACAACATTAAAGAACATAAAGAAATTAAAATAGTTGAAATTAATTGAATTAATTGAATTAAAATAATTAATTGAATAACCAGGAAATTAATTGAATTAAACAAATTAATTGAATTAAAATAATGAATTGAATAACCAGGAAATTAAAATAACCAGGAAATTAATTGAATTAATTGAAATTTTAACACAGAAAAAAATAATTGAATTAATTTTAAAAAAATTAATTTAAAAATAATTGAATTAATTTTAAAAATTAATTTTTGCGAATTAAAAATCAATTTTAAAAAATAATTGAATTAGTTTTAACATAGGGTTCGACAGTGTTCTTCAGTGAAGAAGAAGGAACGACTGGAACAAAGGAAGAACAGGGGGGAAGAAAGGGGGGGTCCGACAGTGAAGTCGAAGGGAAGAAAGGAGAAAGGAAGAAGAAAAAGAAGAAAGGAAGAAGAAGGAACTCACCAGGTGAAGAAGAAGGAACGACTGGAACGACTTCGGTATGCCTTTCAATGTCGACGAACGAAGTCGACTTCGGTATGCCTTTCAATGTCGACGAATGAAGTCGATCTAGGGTTTGGACTTCTTATTTAGTATAAAGCAATTATAAAACTAATTAACTTTGTCGATGAAGGGCCCAAATGATTCGAACGAAGTCGATGAACAGCCCAAATGATTCGAACTGAAATCAAGCAAAAATCTGGTGAAGCGTCGCTTTGTTTCGTCTCCCGCTTCATCGCCTAAGGCTCGCTTCAGGCGCTTCTCCATCGCCTCACCATTTCGCCTTGCCTCAGTGTGCCTGAAGCGCTAAAGTCTCGCCTCGCCTCGCCTCGCTTAGCGCGTAGGCGAGCGCTTAGGCTCGCCTCTGATAACACTGCCAATGATTAAGGATACAACCATTTAGGGGTGTTTAGGAACTTGGTTTTTGGGTTTTTTTTTTTGTTTTTTTTCACTACAAGATAAATGTTTTACAAAACCAAAAAAACAAATCCAAATAAAATATCACATCAAATTCCATAATCATTTCATTTTTTCTCTCACAAACATCACATCCAACCACAAAAAAACGCAACTATCTTCCCAAACACAAAAAAAAATTTCTCCAATAATATCTTACAACTAAAAAAATCTACAAAAAAACCCACTTCCCAAACACCCACTTAATAAATTTACATCCAAGTGGAAACCACAAGTTTCCTAGACCACCCCTCTAAATTAGAAGATTCATGTAGTTAGCTTGTTTTGTAACCTTTTAGAGTACTCTACATAAAAATAATTAAGAAAATTTCAAAGTTTGTTTTTGCCTTTTTAAAAGTAAATAGTATTGTGACTTATCAAAAAAAAAAAAAAAAAAAAAAAGTAAGCACTATTACGAAGAATTCCAACAGAAAAGGCGAACAAATTGGTATGGAGAGAATTATTCTTATTCTTTTCTTTGTATTATATCATGTTTTCTCATTCGTAATTCACCCTCAGTTCTTTCTTTATTTTGGTTGTATGAAGGTTGTGCTCCCTCGGCACGTTTTCTAATACAATTTTTTTTAATTGTTGCTTATCAAAAAAAAAAAAAAAGCAAAAAGAAACTCCTAGAATGATATTTGTTTTTACTTACCGAGTTAAATTTGAAATTAAATAAAAATTTAAAACTCCTAACTTTTTATAAATAACTCTGTCTTATATACATTGCATTTGTGTGCACATTTTTCTTCGTTATGTAGTTTTTTTTTTTTTCCTTCGTGGAATCAAAGAAAAAGATTGAAGTCTTCATTTATTTATATTTTGTCAGACTTTCACAAGTTATACATACTTTACCAACTGGCTTAGCTATAAACTCTGCTGGTAGACTACTGGATGTCCGAGATCAAATACTGCTTTCATTTGAATTAGGGGGCTTTTATGAGCAGGGAGAAGTCTAGCCCGCATTGTGTAACCCATCAACCTTTAGACCAAAAAAATGAAAATAAAATATGAATAACTCCTATTTTACCTATGATTTGTATAAGGAAGGGAGACCCTTTTTGTAGAGGGGACCGTCTGGAACAGCTTTAGTACCCTGAGGTAGTTTAGGCAGCTCCTTATTATGGATTAAAGGAAGAAGGCTTGTGACTCCCTTTCGACGCTTTCAAGTTGAGTTTAGCGAAGGGATTCTCCTAAGAGAAGCTTTAGAGGGAATAGGAGTGACACTACTTTTATGAGCTGTCTCAGTAGTGACTGACTTTATTAGCTGTGTGATTAATGGCTTAGCTGTTAGCTGTCTAAAAGCTACAGGATTTGGAAATGAGTATTGATTTCTTACTCTCTTTTTATATTATTATTCTTCAAAATTTCTTTCTATTGAGTTTTCTATGTACATAGAAACACACTTTTATTTTATTTACACCTTCCTCTAAAAACAGTGCAGCCTGTGTTATATTTTTTCCCCAAAATCGGAAGCAACTAGTCTATCGTTTTTGATGATAGTTTCATGATATTCTGTCAATTTTGTATAGTCGAAGAAGTGTACAATACTTCCTTTGTACCAAAGTGGCACTAAACAGTTTTGTCTTTGCACCCCTTTTTATATTACTGTGGTTTGGAAAAAGAGGGAGGCTCTACATGAATGTCTATTGGGTATCAACTTTTGATTTTATTATTGGCTTGCAGAGTCCTGCTCCTTGTAATTAAATGAGAGCCATTACTTTTACACCAAAGTTCAATCTGCAAAAACAATTTCTTGGGAACAATAGCAATGTTTAAAATTCCTATGCTAAGCTCTTATGTAAAGTTGCAGAAGTTAAACTTCTGTCTTCACTTTTTAAAAATCTGTGTATCTGTGTGGAGGAAAAAATGTCCAGGAAGATTCAGATCACAAAGTTATACTCTTATGTTTTGTATGGTGGCAAGTTCCACAATATGTTGAAGCTTTCTTTTCATGATGGTTGTATAGGTTGCTCTTGCAAACTCCTGTTCAAATGCATCTCCAGGTCTTCAGGAGAGGGCTGCTGGCGCTTTGTGGGGATTGTCAGTATCAGAAGCAAATAGGTAGGTTTAAAGGTTCATTCATAAAGTATTATCATCATCATTATTATGGTACCAATCTATATTTCATTTAGTTTGGTGCATTATTTGATTCTATGGAATTGTACTTCTTGTTATCGATGAGAAATTTGTTTCTACAGTCAACTTCTTACATAAATGCTTTTCTAAGCAGGGCGCGCTACCTAATGTTGAGTTTTAAAGTAGTGACCTTAAGGTCCTTAACCATCCACAGCTATGTTTGAGAGTCAACTCCATGTCCCATTAATCTGTGCATCCCTCACCGAGACAGCAAGACTGTCTGGTCATTGGTTCTTGAGGTATCAATATTAGCCTTGGTAGCTTTATTGCTACTTGGGAAATTTGGAAAATGGAAAGTTGGTAGTAATACAGGACTTAGATTTATATTGATTTGATTAAATAAAATTTTTAATTTGTTATTATTATTATATTAGTCACAAGAATTGTGAGGGTGATGTTTCCGCTCAGGAACTTCTATTCGGCAGTTCAAAATAATAATCAAGTTAGAACCGTGTTTTCATCGAGATGGAATCACGGTTCAACTATGATGGGATTGTTCAAACATATGAATCCCAAAGAAACAAAAGAAAAGCTACCGAGATATGTACTTTATAAATTAAAAATGATGAGCATATCAGTCCACATTAGAATAAATTAAGGGCAAAATATAAAGCATAAATTGAAATAGTATAAGTTACCCATACCTCTTGCGTTGTGTTCATTTTCCCGCAAGGACCACGACTAAGCAAAAAAATATTTCTTACAATGTTTGTATATATTTATATATATAATACATAAATGCTACCTAGGTACTCCCAACCTCAGACTCTTCTATGTGCTCTTGCCCCCTACTGCTGTTTCGTGCAACTAAGGTTATTGTTGAATAGTTCATGTTTCCATTGGTTTACAAAAAGATGTTTTTGCAACTTCTTTTATGGCCTAACCTAACCTTTGTGCTACCTTGTGTTCACCACACAATTTTAAATTAATGCTTTGTTAGTAAAAGGGATGGGAAATTGAAGAGAATGTATGTATAAGGTATCCGTGAAAAAAGGTAGTCTTTCCCTTCTTTTGGTTGGTTGAGTAGGAGCAAAGAAAGAAAGAAGGAATGTGTGAGTGTGCCTTTGTTTTCTTTTTTTTTTTTTTTAAATTTTACTATTATACCATTATGTAGTAACACAAGGATCTGTATACAATGATGTGTATACACAAGGAGGTGTACCTGGGCCTTTTTGATTTGTTGCCTCTTTGTACATGGGTGGCATTCTTTCAATGCAATCGTTTTGAATGAAGCACAAGGATATTATTTGAATGTAGAAAGTAAAAGAAAGGCATTGTTCTTTTGGATCCTTCTTTCTAGCTACTTTTGGATGTAGTGTTAAAATTTTGGATGCATCCAACAGAAAATCAATTGCCATTAGGTAGAGGCCTATAAAATATGAACCTACCTTAGGTGGCTTAAATAGTGTTTTTTTGAGGCAAAAAATGAATAGAGGCGACAAGGGCTCCTAAGGCCTAAGCATGAGGTGAAGTGATGGCTTCATCGAAGTAACGCAAACTCGAAGGATATTTTAAAAAAATAAATAACATAACAAAAACTCAATAATTTCAAAAATTGTGTGCAACATTCAAAATATTAAATATCCATAAAACAACCAACGAAATTCAATATTTTAAATACCAATATCCAAGAAATTATAAGGCATCCAATAAACACTTAAGATTTTAACATTCGAAAACATAAAAGGTATCCAAAAAAAAGCACAATTTAACTGCACAACAAATAATTGTCCCCAGAGGCTAGACTTTAGTATCTAGCATCGGCTAAAGTATCAACTGCTTAGCTAAAGTGAAGAAACAAGTTATTTTCTATATGAGAAAAAAAAAATAACAAAAAGAAGATGCAGTTTTTAGTTTAAAGTTATGACCTAGTATGTAAATGTCATATGTTTATTACTACTAAAAAACTAGATGGATGCGATCAAATCATGACAATAAGAAAAAAGCCACCGCCTTGAGCTTGAGGCTAGCAGCCTTGGCCTTGCCTCACTTCAGGCTTCTGGAGACGTTGAGGCTTGATCACTTCTTGCTTCGGTTCTCACTGAAGCCTTTGCTTAGGAACATTTTTCAAAGCAATGGGTTTAGAAAAGCAATGTGGGACAAATCTGTAACACTCATCTGTATGTGCAATTCACATGTGGAGGTAGAGAGATGAATGAGACGCGAGAAATAAACCTGGTTCGGAGACTTGTCCCTCGAGACCGTGCAGGACCTAGCTTTCATTTTGGAATTGTGGAGATGTCTTACCCAAAACCATTTGGCATCAGGTGGAACGGAAAGGCCTCTAGACTATATGGACAAGCTTGGGTGACTTGGAGAGGCGATGTGGGATGAGTCTCTTAACAAAGAGAAATAATGGGCTTTGATCAAGATGTCCCTTCTTTCCTTTGCTTCCCTTCCCCTTAATTTCCTAACAATGAGAGAAACTCTTTCCATCTCTTCTTTTTCCTTCCTCAACCTTTTTGGTCTACTTACTAGAAAGACCCTAAGACCAATATCATTGCAGGTCAATATTTAGGCTTGCTCCAATAAATCGTACCATCTTTTGTTTAGTTGGTTGCAGCAGCCCAAGTAGTCACTGGTGCCAAGACTAAAGCCAGCTCGTGTCCGGCCTCTCTTATTTTTAGAATATTTGCTATATCCTATAAGCACTCATTCACATGCATCATATTGTGGAAGATTTGGAAGATAAAAAGGTAGCTTAAGGTAACCTTAACTTACCATATTGTTGGTACCTGAAATAGCCCATGTGGCCTCATTAGAGTGCTGATGTTGATCTCAGTAATATCTTACACTATTCCGTTTTTTAAACAGGCTTTGTTTCAGCTACATGGCTTTGGCTTTGAATAAAATAGCTGTCTGCTTGCATCAGTGGTCTTGGTTGACAATCTGAGTTCTTTATTGCAGGAGCACTGTTAGAACTTCAGTGGCCATACACCAACACATCAACTATTGTTGTACCTTTTAAATAATGGAGTAAGCCACCATCGGTGCCTGTTTGCCACAAACACATTAAAGTTGCTGGACAGTTGGAGAAACTATACTTAGTTGTAAGGAGCTGAATTCTGATAAATAAAAAAAACAACAACCAATTTAGTACACATTAATGTGTGTTTGGGAGGGGAAAGATTGAGTACACACCTAACCTTTGGCACAATGCACAAAGTGATGGTCCCAAGACTTGAACCCATAACCTTAAAGGTTATTAGGCCAAGTCTTAACCATTGAAATGAAAATAGACTAGAAGATGATAAGGGTAGGACAAAAATGAACACAGTAGAAAGAAAATAAATAGCAGGATTTGCAATTGCCAAACAGAAATTGGTAACATGGATGTAAACAGTTCTAAAACATAAACTCACATTATGGGTGTTTATTGACGGCTATTTTTTGTAGGGGGCTGATGTTTCATGGTTTACCAATCGCTAGAGTGAGATTGTCAATGCAAAGTAGTGATATCTGTGTAATACATAGAGATGAGTGGTCTGGTTTCCAAAAGGTCAAACAATTCAAACTTTTTAACTTCAGTGTGGTTAAAAGCAATCCATCACATCTTGAATAAAAAGATTCCTGTATTTGAGAACCCCCAACACATAAGAAGCTAAAAAGAGAAGAAGAAAACAATAATTACTTAATTAGTTTCTTTTGACCTTCCCCTTTGAGGTTATTATTGTCATGTCATACTTGATCACGTTATCTTGTGTAGAAAAACCATATTCGTATTCAGTAAAGATAAATACCTACTTTTCGTTTTGTCTTCACAATTATTTAATATTTTTGTTGTTTCCATATTAGCATTGCTATTGGACGAGAAGGAGGAGTTGCACCTCTGATAGCACTTGCAAACTCGGAGTGTGAAGTAAGTATTAAATTTACACACTTGGTATTCTTGTTTGTTGCATTTAATTTCATTTTTGGTTATAGTGTAATTTGGTCTCATCTCTGGTATTCATGAAAAGTCAATGGGCATATTTGGTGCAACTTCTAGCAAGCTGAGAGCTAAAAATTAAAGAAGCGGAGCTTAAAAGCACCTCTTCCCCTGCTTTCCAATAATTAGCTTTTTCCGACTTATGTAAGCTATTTTTGTATCATAAACTATAAGTAGAAGCTGCACCAAACACTCTGGCCCAAATTTCTAAAATAAAAAGCTATAAGCAGCTCCAAAAGCTGCACCAAACAGCCCCAATGTACTTAGCATATGGAAGTTTTGAAACCATTCCTCATATATGTGTCATTGTCTGATTGATTAAAATAGCAAATTGACATGGTTGGCTGCTTAGAAATTCTATTTTGCACTTGGATTTGACACTGAATGGTTGTCAAGAGTTGCCGTCATAGCTCATATGGGGATAGGTTGTATATTAAATTGGCACATTAGTATTTAATGTTAGGTTTTCTTTATGTCCATCTTATATAAAGTAGCTTATGATTTATGTCTCATGAACTTTGATTTAAAGAATGACTTCATGGTCTTAGCTTATGATTTATGTCTCATGAACTTTGATTTAAAGAATGACTTCATGGTCTTAGCTTATGATTTATGTCTCATGAACTTTGATTTAAAGAATGACTTCATGGTCTTAGCTTATGATTTATGTCTCATGAACTTTGATTTAAAGAATGACTTCATGGTCTTAGCTTATGATTTATGTCTCATGAACTTTGATTTAAAGAATGATTTCATGGTCTTTTGTTATATGATATTTTTAAGATGGATCTGCTCCCAAATGTTGAGAAGAAAGAGTTGCATAGTTAGACAAGATGAAGGGGAAACATCAAATTCAAAGTGGAAATAAGGCCTTGGCTTGACACTTTCAAGATTGTGTGATTTTAATTGTACAAAAGATTCTCAAAAGAGATTCTGAATGCCTGCATGTTCATTGCTCAAACTCACATTTAGGTCATACTTCATAACCATTAGCATATTTCTGGTATTTAGTTTAAAACATGATCCAATGTATGTACTAATTTTTGCACTAGTTTTAAGTCGGTACTGAGATTTTTCCTTTTTCTTGGATGCATTTAATTTTATTTACTTTACTAATTATATTTAAGGATAACCTTCCCACTTGTATAAAAAAGTATGTTTAATATTAAAAATGATGGTTTCATAAACATAAGCTCATTTAACCTGGATAGCAACTCCATCTTGAAAGTGGAACAGTCAAAAGCATATAGATTGAAGATTTTTTTTCATAAGTTGTGTCTCTTTTTTGTGATTTTAATAGTGGAAAGAAAAAGAAAACTAAGAAAAAGTGGCCTTATATACGAAATGCAGAAAATAAAATTGCAACGGTTGTAACGTCCGTGGTGGTGTTGTAATGGCCGATACAACGTTTATGTAATTGTGGTCGCTGCTACAGTTGTGAATATTAGTCATACTGCTATAGCGGCGTAACGGGTGGTGGTAACCACCGAAATTGTTACATAACAGTTGCGGCCAATTTATAAAACCTTGATTTTGAGACTCCCAAAGATATTGTCCATCATAGACATCAACAAAACTGAACACTCCCCATGTTTTTTTGTCCTTCTGAATCATAAACAAAGGGTGTGAGCTTGAGACTGATTTTGGAAGACAACTAGCAATTTCTATGCAACCCGTTCTTTTCCTCATTGACATCCTCAAAATCTAAAATTAAAACAGGTAAATCAGAGGAGATTGGAGGAATGCCTTTCTATTGTTCCATCATGATTCTTGATTGATATTTTGAAGGAGAATTTATGAATCTGATCTGATAACTGACTTTGGTCTCTGATAAACAAAACAAAAAAAACTAAAGTATAAATACATACTAGAGAAGGAAAAAAATCTGCCATTTCCCTTTCATCTCTTTACTTTTCTTTTCCAAAAATAGAATGGTGGAGAATTGCCTTCTTTTTCCATCGTGATTTATGAAGGGATGTGTCTGTATCTGTTAACCGATACTCAGATTCTTTAGAATACATTCAAGATTTGCATACAAAATCCTTAAAAAAAATAACCAAAATGTGTTCATGCTTTCCGCATTACATGCTTGTGTGATGATGGAGAGTTGTTTTTTTCCATGTAAATTGAATATAGATTTTAGTTTTGTTTGTATAATCTTATGTGCGGACTCTTCAATGTGTTGTGCATCTTTGCTGGATAAGTGTTTGTGTCACCTAGGATTGAAAACGAACCGAGCCGAGCTGAGCCGAGCTTTGCTGAGCTCGAGCTCGGCTCGTTTACTTATCAAGCTTGTTTATTGAGCTTAAGCTCGGCTCGGCTCGGCTCATTTAACATTAATGAAACTCAAGTTCGGCTCGGCTCGATAAATTTTTTAAAAATATTATTTGTATTATTTAAATAAAAAATATTATTTAATATATAAATAATATATTTATTATATAATTTAAATAAAGATAAACGAGCCAAGAGCTCGGCTCATTTACTAAACGAACCAAGCCGAGCTTGTTCATGAACAGCTCGGTTCATTTGCAATCCTAGTGTCACCTAATAAGGACCAGGGAGTTATTTTCATGCTGTGAGTGTTTATTAGTATTTCATATATATTTTTTTATTCTCTTTCAGGATGTTCATGAGACTGCTGCTGGAGCTCTTTGGAATCTTGCTTTCACTCCTGGTAATGCTCTTCGAATAGTGGAGGAAGGGGGGGTTCCGGCCCTTGTTCATCTTTGTTTTAAATCAGCATCTAAAATGGCACGCTTCATGGCTGCGTTGGCATTGGCATACATGTTTGATGGCAGGTACTTGATCATATCTTGGTTCTGTATCTGCTGAGTTCAGTGAAATGCTTATGCTGTTTCGCTTTTTACTCTTTCCTAGATTTCCTGTTTTTAACCATTCATCAATGTACTTTCTCCACCAACACAAGTTTCTAGTTATGAACTTTTCTCTATCTTATCTACCATATGATCTAGATTTAGCCATTTAGGTTTCTTTTAGTTAATCACATAGTGCTTCGTTGCTTGCACCAAAACATGATTCATACTGTCTTCTGCTGAAATTGAAACTATTTTCTGAAGAACTTTGTGAAATAGACATATAATTAGTCTGTTTGGAAAAGTGAGGGGCTAGTTTGATTCTAGAGGCATTCAGTGTGGCAACACAAATTCCTTGTATTGTGAAACATGATTAGTACATTTCTGAAATCAGGGATGCCTTCTAAGGTTGTGTTTTTCGTTTGGACAGCAACCTTGGGGCGAATTCTGATTATTGATAATCTAATCACCGTGGTCATATTTTGATGAATTGGTGCAGCATGTGTTGCGGGGATGTAGAGTCGGTGGATCATTTGCATATTCATTGTCCGGTTTCTTCTCGGCTTTGGATGCTTGTGGTCATGACCTTTGGGTTGGATGGGTGCAGCCGGGTTTGGTGCAGGCAGTTTTGTAGAGTTGGGTAGGGGGGAAGGGTTGGGTGGAGGCATCGGAAGGCTTGGATGCTTGCCTTCCATTGTATACTGTGGTTGATTTGGTTGGAACGTAACAGATGGGTGTTTCAGGGGGTGTCTCACTCGATTTCTTGGTTAGAAAGTGACTTCTTTCTGTGTTATATAGTTGGGTGACGGGTAGGGTTGATCCAGATGTTCTGGTTTTTGTAGATTTTGTGAAGGACTTGATTTGATTAGTTTCGTTGGGCCTTTTGGCTCTCATTTTTGTATTATTTGCACCATCTTGATGCTTTTTTCATAAAGTTTGGTTATTTATCCCCCCACCCCACCCCAAAAAAAAATAAAAAAAAATAAAAAAATCTGGTGTTGAAACCCTGGTTTCTTAGGGCCATAAACCAGGTTCATGCAATTGAAGAAGAAATTTTACTTGTTAAATGGAGATAGTATGAGAAGATGACACACAGACTTGACTTCCCATGTACAATGAAACCCTTTTCCTGTGCTGTGCTACGCTATCCAAAGTTCTTCAGCATTGATCTGCCAGAAGTCTCGGCATCTTCATTTTGCTGCTTATCATCTTAACATGGCGATGGAAACTGCATAACACTCCATGGGCTTTTTGGGTTTACACCTAGTTTTGGGAAGGAACTAAGTGAAAAAGATAGAAACCTAGAAAACCCCTTCTAACCTCTCCTTTGCTTCCTTTTCACTTCACCTCACCTCACCTCACCTCACCTCACCTCACCTCACCTCACCTCACCTCACCTCACCTCACCTCACCTCACCTCACCTCACCTCACCTCACCTCACCTCACCTCACCTCACCTCACCTCACCTCACCTCACCTCACCTCACCTCACCTCACCTCACCTCACCTCACCTCACCTCACCTCACCTCACCTCACCTCACCTCACCTCACCTCACCTCACCTCACCTCACCTCACCTCACCTCACCTCACCTCACCTCACCTCACCTCACCTCACCTCACCTCACCTCACCTCACCTCACCTCACCTCACCTCACCTCACCTCACCTCACCTCACCTCACCTCACCTCACCTCACCTCACCTCACCTCACCTCACCTCACCTCACCTCACCTCACCTCACCTCACCTCACCTCACCTCACCTCACCTCACCTCACCTCACCTCACCTCACCTCACCTCACCTCACCTCACCTCACCTCACCTCACCTCACCTCACCTCACCTCACCTCACCTCACCTCACCTCACCTCACCTCACCTCACCTCACCTCACCTCACCTCACCTCACCTCACCTCACCTCACCTCACCTCACCTCACCTCACCTCACCTCACCTCACCTCACCTCACCTCACCTCACCTCACCTCACCTCACCTCACCTCACCTCACCTCACCTCACCTCACCTCACCTCACCTCACCTCACCTCACCTCACCTCACCTCACCTCACCTCACCTCACCTCACCTCACCTCACCTCACCTCACCTCACCTCACCTCACCTCACCTCACCTCACCTCACCTCACCTCACCTCACCTCACCTCACCTCACCTCACCTCACCTCACCTCACCTCACCTCACCTCACCTCACCTCACCTCACCTCACCTCACCTCACCTCACCTCACCTCACCTCACTTATGATTTTGCTTAGGCACAAGCTTTTTAGTCAATTTCCAGTTGGAAAAATACTGAGACCCACAATTTCAGTTCCACAATTTTACACAATTTAAGATTTTTATTTATGATGAAATTTGTCCCTTTTGAAATATCTTTAATTAGCTAGCTGAATTATAAACTGATATAATGGGTTGTAGAGTCAAATTCCTTTTCCAAAACTAAAGCCAATGCGATGGATTCAATTTGGATTTCGAATGGAAGTGGAAATGATTCATTTACATTAAGGAAAAAAATTAAATGAACTTTTTCTTCTATCAATGGTCGCGTAGCTCCTAAAGTCGATAGAATTAGAAATCAAGCATTGTAACTTGTATGACCCTTTGCACCGTTGCTATGTCACTGTTTATGTTTTCTTAATGGCCTGATGAAACTATGAGATGATGCATTAAGGAAGCACGTCTAGAGAGGCCTAAGCTAAGAAGTACGGACACGAACACGGACACGGACACATGACACGACACGACATGGACACGCCGACACATTAATTTTTAGAAAATGCAGGATACGACACATGGGGGACACACATGAAATATATAATTTTATATATTTATTATATGTTATATATATATATCATTCAAAGATAATAAAAAATGCAATATGACACTAATTCTTATAAATTTATATGGGTTTTGTTTTATTATTGTATCTTAAGTTGTTTTGTTCAAACTTATAATTA